TTCTGGCCGGGCCGGTTGCCGGGAGGTGCAGTGGGCAGTGGCGGCTCCCGCTGCGAAGCTGGGGGAGGAGAGGGGCCCGGGCCCGCCGCTCGCTTCTGTGAGTTCTGCCGGTGGGGGGCCGAAGGAGGCTGTCGGCCGGGAGAGGGCCGAGGTGGAGGAGGCCGGGGAGGGGTGATGATGGTGTTAAATGTGGCCGCGCAGCTCCCCGGGGAGCTGCCTGAAAGGAGAGTGCGCTCACCAGCTGACAGCGCGTGCTCCGCTCCAGACGCTCCGCACCGCGGCCAGGAGCCGCTGCCAGCCCCTCTATTGTCAACCGTTCTCTAATTAAGAAACACTCACATTACGGCAAACCACCCCCACGCTTCTTGGTTCCTGTCCTTTTCTTTATCTGCCCCCGACGACTCTCCTCCCCTGCCTCTCCCCTGCGCCTCGGATTTAACCCATTCTCCGCCCCGTTCGCCTGTGCTCCTTAGAGGCCTAGCGGTAGGGAAGCTACCCCCCGGGTTGGCGCCTGGGACACTGCTCGGCCCCCGGGTGAGGGTGGCGGGTGCGAGGACAGTCAGGAAGAGCGAGGAGACTTAAAGTTTCATAGCAAAGAACATGCCCACCCTTCCCTCCCCCCACCCCCCCCCCAGGCCCTCCATCTCCAATCCCTTCCCAGGAAACCAACTGCAAATAATGTTAACTACTAGAGGTCATCTTAACTCTCGCCGGTACTTGCTGGGGTTTCCAGATTGCAATTGACAAGTCTAGGTTGCAAGGGACAAGTAGGTCAGCTGCCTTTCGTTCCCAATTCTATCTGGGGTTTGAAGCCGCCGAGACGAAGTGATCGTCTCTTTCTTGAGCTTTCAAATGAACAGAGGAGAGAAAGAAGTCCAGGATATCCTTTGATAAAAGACTGCTTGCTTCTTTCAGGTTTCAATCTCTAAAATCAATCGAGAGGCCTAATCAAAGCATTGGTCCTGACTTAGTTAAGATTAAGGAAACTTAACTCCCCCCCCTTTTTTTTCTTGTTATGCTGGACCCCCAATAAACAATGTCCCATAGAGAACATGCTTAAACGTGCCAGCTGCCAAAAAATAAACTTTCTTCAGTTTTCTGTGAAATCAAGTAAGTTTCCAGGAGGGTGGTGAGCCAAAACCCTTCACGGATAAAAGTGGTGGGGCAGAAAGCAAAGACAGGGTATAAAACAAGCTGTTTAAAGTACATAAAACTCTAGAAAGCACCAAGCAGTGATGCAAAAGACTGACCCGATTTATCTATCTTCATTACTTTAAGAAATGCTGCCTCTTTGTTTGTTTGGGTGATATTAAGCATGCTTAACTTGCACACATAGTTGATTCCTTTGCTAGTATCTTGGATACTTGGATCTGACTTTGGAAGGTAGAAGCTAATTGCTAATAATGGAGAGAAAGGAACCAGTCAGCATGGCAGGAGTGGTCTGGCATATGGGGAATGAGCGCTCAGAAATACTCAATATTCAAGTTTCCAAAATATTAATGAGATTATAGCAACCTGCAGCTATATGTTACAGCTTGTTAATGGAGTGTAAGAGAGCGGGCTGCCAAACGTTTGTTATGCAAACTCCATAGCAGAACCCTAAAATGGAAATGTGATTGTACATCTCTTTCAAAGAAATGCCAGCATAAAAAGAAAGAAAGAAATAGAATGAAGGAAAGAAAAGAGGTTAAAGTCCTCATTTGAACTTTGAGCACTTAATTTACACAAAGTGATTTGGCTTTTGGTGCCTGTCTGGATGAGTTAGAAGAATTCATCCTCACTTTTCAATCTGTGTGGTATAGAATTTCCAGTCTGATATTCTGTTGTGGCTGTTTTCTCTTGAGAAGAAATTTAAAATGACCTCCTTCAATGAAGTTCCATCATCTCTAATTCATGGATAATGCTCCTAACATTTAAAAATATAAATACCTATTTTTGTGGTGCAAGAGAAAACCTTGAACATTAGCATAGCTGTAACTCCTTTCCATGGATTTTCTTAGTGGAAAAAAAAAATCTGTGGGCACATTGACCTGGTGGATGGGAGTAGTAAGATCCAGTTCTGGATATTGACGCTTTGTGATTGTGTAATTTAGAGGCCAGTTAGGGGTAGTAGTTTCTCCTCATTTATAAAAGATGGGAAAGAAGATGTTCTTGATGTCAATCTGTTTTGAAATTTCTATGAGTCCATGAAAAGAAAAATAATAACTTTGGAAGAGGTTTTTTTTTTTTTTTCCTGGTCAACACCAACTGAGCATGAATAGTTTTGAAAAATGAAGTATAGGTCACTTTCTTTAAGAAAAAAGAATCACAGTTTAATTTTTTCAGTCCTGCCCTTATCCTACTCAGATTTGTAACAGGTAAAAGAATCCTAGGTCATCTTCTCTCTGTCCCTCCACACATGCACACAAATAATGATGAAAATATGTGGGTGCTCATCCTGCAAAGTTGCTGTGTGTCCATGCCTGTTGAGTTTACTTACTGAAAGCAAAATGGAAATGTGTTAGAAGCAATCGCTTGATTTATTCAGCAGCCTGAAGATTCCTGATGTTTATCGTGAGCGCGGCAAACTCAGTGGTGCAAAAGGTTATCTAAGGGACAGGTGCATTGTTTCTGCCCCTGGAAAGCGTCAGGAGCTACCGCTCACCCTTCAGAGCTGGCGGAGTCTCTTGGCTTCCCTCGAGCTCGGACTTCAGCTGAAAGCCACGGAAACCCAGGTGGTCAAGTCGAGAGCTGGTTCCAGGGTTCCCTATCGGTTCCCCATCGAGACCAGAACTGCGCTCCTTGGCGCATGACTGTCCTGCAAACGTAGTTTGTGGCGCTCTCCTCTTTTCAAGGTGCTGAGCGGCTGGGGGTGGGGGGTGGGCTGGGGAGGATGATGCCGGAACGATTAAATTAACCTTCCCTGGCTCTCCCCTTCCCTGCCCACCCCTGCTTTCTTGTTCTCACAATTTGTTATCCTAATGAAGACACAAAATATAAAAGATTTGGCTTAAAATCAACTTCTCAAATTCAGCGATGTTTATCCAGCGGAACGTCGCCCAACCTTTTAGTTTAACAAATGGTTCTACTCTCACGTTTGCTGAATACATTTTTGAAACTCCTCCTTTTACCGTCCCCACACGCACACTATATTCGCTTTTTTTTTTTTGAAAAAAAACAAAAAACAAAAACAAAAAAACTTTGAACCTGACACCCAGAATAGTCTTCTCCTCGGTGCGGACCCTGAGGTGAGAATGGGTGTACTGTTTAGTTTCTGCAGCTGACTCAAAAATAGAAACATTTTCTACTAAGGAACTAATTCAGAAAGACAAAATAAAAGCAAACATTATCTTCTATAGTGGAATAAGTAGACTTGTTTGGCGGGGGAAAGACTGAACGTCAACAATTTCCTAGGATAGCTGCACGCTTCTAATTTTTGAACCAAGGAACCCCATCCCCTTTCTCCCCAAGTTTTTCCCATTGTTCTCTTTTCCATTCCTGCCTTCAACTTACCCCCAGCCACTACCACTAGGGAAGGGAAGAGAGGGAGGGAGGAAAGGAGAGAGAGAGAGATTGAGAGAGAGAGAGAGAGAGAGAGAAACTGAGAAAGCTCGGGCTGTGTGTTTTTGACGGATGGCAAAAACCTTCAACTTGGCTAAAGTTTTTATGAAGTGGAAATGGGTAACCTTGGTAAAGATCACTACTCCTGGTGAGATCTTAGGAGGCACGAAACACGTGCCTCCTCTCCTAGAGGTTGTTGGGGCCAGGTGTGAGGAAGACGGAAAAGATCCTGGCTATTGAAGAGGCAAATATGGTTGCAAATTTTGGGGAAATTTTACCTAACGCCTTATTTACGGACTTGATAACTGGCACTGCCTGAAACTACAATGTTTAATGACAGAATTTTTCTTCCAAACTCTTAGATTCGCAATTAACTAGGAGACTGAGCTCAAGTCTTCAGCATCCTTTAGAAATGGTTTTTAATGCTTATATCAGAATGGAATAAGTGACAGATAAAAGTTATTTTCACGTTTATTTTCATCATTTGCAAAAGAAAATACATAAAACAATGGCGGTTGGCTTTGCTAAATTAAAATAAAATGATCTCGAGTAGAAAAACGTAAAAAAAATGAATCAAGATAAGTAGAAACGGTAGCAAACAATCAATAATAAATAAGTTTTCTAACATTAACAAAGCAAAATAAAATTGACCAAATGCTTTTGACACTACTGGATTTTTTTTTTAATTTTAATTTTTAAACAAACATTTGCAAAGAGCTTAAGGATTATAAGTGGCCTTGTTTAAAACAACAACAACAACAACAACAACACAAAAACTGGTCTGCAATTGGCAGCTGAGTTTGTCCTGGAGCCGCAGCAGTAGCGGCTGATAAAGTGCGTGCGCCAAGTTTCCTAGAAGACGCCAACATCATCGCGAGCCGATATACATACTGGGTATGTCCATACAATATATAAACCTAAGAGTCCTCTGTTTTCTAACGTTCCGTCGTCAAAGGTTATTCACTTTGGAGCCATTAACTTTGCGTTTCATGATGCATTTTGAGAAAATCCTTCGGAATACTAACTCTCCCACACGTGAGTGCGCGCAACACACAGGGATGAATGCCCAGGGCATAAAATAAATTAAAACACAAACCAGCGACTGAGAAGAAAATGCGACATCTTAGCAGCGTATTGGCAGCAGGGAACTAGAAGGATGATGCTCTACTTGGGTACATATAATCATTCCTCATCTACCTACGGGGAGGGGGGGAGGGGGGAGGAAAGAACACAACTTTAACAGCAAGTTTTCATCAATATGGACCACAGGAAGTTCGGGACAGCGGCGGCTTTTGCAAACCATCAAATATAGCTGCCATATGAAGCCAAGTCGTTGCTAAACAACGACAATCGCAGAGCAAAAATGAAAAGGGTGCGGGGATCTTTAACCGCGGCGCTTCCCGCGCACTGGGCAAGGGTGATTTTGTTTCTGTCCCAGTTTTCAGGTTTCTGTCACCCTCCTAACTTGCCTCATCTGAGTCACTGTAATGGGAATGGGGGGAAAACTCCCCGTCGCTTCTGTGGGACCGGGGCGAAGTTTTGCTGCTTTCTTCCTGCCCTGGCTGCAGGATGCCCCCGGGCAGGGAAGGCGACAGGTTCTTTTGCGCCATCATCGCCGTCAGGGCGCTGTCCTCGAAAGTCGGGAAGTGCAGAGCGTCCAGCTGCACCGCGTATCCTCCCGCGGGGGCCGGGGCCGAGAAGCGAGTCCGGCAACCTCCGGGCGCCGAGGGCCGCTGGCCCCCTCCCGAGGCCGGCTGGGCTCCCGCTGCGCTCGCCGTGCCCGCGCCGCCTTCGTAGGGGGCGGCGGCGCGAAGGTGGTGGTGGTCGCTCTTGCAGGATGCGGGCGGCGGCGGCGGCTGCTCCCCGCCGCTGGGCGTTTGCAGCAGCTCGGACAGGGCGTTGATGTAGATCTGGGCCATCTGCAGGGTCTCGTATTTGGACAGCTTCTTGTCGTTGTTGAAGGACGGGATAACGTTGCGCAGCTGGTCGAAGGCGTGGTTCAGCCCGTGCATCCTGCGTCGCTCCCTGGCGTTGGCCGCCAGCCGCCTTTGCTTCTGCACCCCGTTCACCTGTTTGCTGGAAGGGGCGCGCTGGCGGCTGCAGCCCAGCTCGTCTACTCCCACCCCGCCTTTCAGCTTACACAGCTGTTCCCGCACTTTCACTGGTCCCGGACTCTTGCTGCTGCTACCGCCGCCGCCGCCGCCGCCGCCGCTCCTCCTCACCAGCTCCCCCCGGCCGTCCGCCTCCTCCCGGGGCGCCGCAGCCTCAGAGACACCCAGCTCGGGGGAATGCAGCAAGTACTGGGCGGCGCGTGCCGTGCAGATGCCCTGCAAAGTAGGAGCCAGCCAGGCGCGTGGGTCGGTGCTGTCCAGGAGGGACAGCTCGGCCGGGTAGACGGGATGCTCTCTCGTCTGCAGGGTCGCAGGTGGCGGCGGCGGCGGCGGCGGCAGGTGGTGAGGCTGGGGATGGCGATGGTGGTCCCCCAACTCCTTCACTTCAGCCCACTCCTCTGCGTGCAGCAGGCGGGACATTGCACTTCGGAGGCTCGGAGGCGCAGGGTCGGAGGAGGGACTGGCAAACCAGCTCAACTACAACAAAAACCCTTCCTGGGTCTCTACTGCAAGGTCTTGTGTTTTTTTTTTGTTTTTTTTTTTCTTTTTTTTTTTCTCCTCGACCCTCCCCCACCCACACGGAGATCACACACACCAGGTCGCGTGCAACGAAGCTTCTCCGGTTGCTGAAGGCGCTGCGCCCCTTTAAAAAGCGGCACGCGCCAGTGTGTCTCCCCCCCCACCCCCCGCTCCCCTCCCAGCCCCCTCCTCGCGCCGGTCGCGTGTCTGCTCAGCCAATGGAGGGCGCGGGCAGGCGCGTGCGAGCAGCCAATCAAAGAGTTTTTACACCGGAGCAAAGTTCCAGCGTGCGGAAGGCTTAAGCGCCCGCGCAGTGGTCCGCCCCCCCCCCCGCCCATTCTTCTATCCTTTTTTAAGTTAGTCAAATTCATATGTTAATTGGGGGTTGTAATTCGACTCCGGAGTTGTGCCCGCGCGCCGGCGGCGGGGGTGCGGGAGCGGGTGCGGAGTGCGGGGCGCTCTCCCGGCGGGCGGCTGAGCGCGGGGGCGCTGCGGGGGCGCTGCGGGGGCGCTGCGCGCGGGGACGAGCCCGCCCGCCCTTCGCCGCCCGCGCGCTAGGGTCGCAGCTCCCGCCGTCTGTGCCCGAACGTTTCCAAGCTCTCCTGTGTATATGCACGTGTATGGAAAGCTTTCAGAATGCATGTTCATAGATCACAAATAATTGCATGGATCTATAATTGCTGAGACCCACTATTTAAACTCCGTGTTAGACTTAAAAACTAAACTAAAAAAAAATAAAACGAACTGTCTCAGAATAACGTTTCTGAGTTTTCATCTCTCGCTCCAGATCGACACTATGTAACCTAGTAAAGTCGCGGTGCGGGGATAGGACGCACTAACTTAGACCCCGCAGTCTTCTCTGGGCCCCTTTTCCAGCACCGCGGCCGGCCAGGACTGTAATCTGTAGGAGACTCGGCTGGGCGGGTGTAGGACTCGCATATTTTACAGTTTCCACACCCACGGTAGGGCTCCTCACGAAGTGCGGAGTCGGGGGGCGGTGCCCAAAGAAACAGGAAAGGCGCCTGCGTTCCCTGCAGGTCTGAACCTTTCCAAGGTGCAGAACCTCAGAGTTACCTTCCCCTTCCGCTTCAGGAGCCCTGGGTTTATTTAATGGGGCGCGCTGCAAACACCCAGAGACACCACAGCCTAACCCACTCCACGCCGCCCCCCGTTGAGTTCGGGGTGCTCTCCCCAGCACCCCGTATTCCCACCCCCCAGCCCCACCATCCCGGCCGCCAGCCCGAGAGCCGAACCCCGGGAGGTCCCGGGCGAAGCGGGGACGCTCTCGCTCAGGTGAGCTGCTTCCTCCCGCCCCTGAGCCCAGGCCTCTTGAATTCACAACAAAAACCAATCAGAAGCGCCCTGGCCCGGGAACGCCCCGGCCTGGGTCCCACAAGGCTGCACCTCGGGGCGCTTTCCCGCATTGGCCTTGGGGCGCAGCAGTGGGACGCAGCCGTGGGACGCAGCCAGCGGGTGCTGGTGCTGCTCTCTGCTTCTGCCGGGGAAGGGAGCTTCGTCCTCTCGAAAAGATGGTGAAAAGAAAAGCTAGCAGAGAGAGCTCCGGGAAGCTGGCAAAAGCAGGGCACCGGAATGACTGAAAGTTGCTCTTGCTAGTATTCGCGGGGACTTGACCTAACCTGCTACTTAGAACTCCCTGGGCAGGGACGCCTGGGTGGTTCAGGGGTGCAGTGTCTGCCTTGGGCTCAGGTCGTGATCCCGGGGTCCTGGGATTGAGTCCTGCATCAGGCTCGCCTCAGGGAGCCTGTTTCTCCCTCTGCCTGCGTCTCTGCCCCTTTCTGTGTATCTCTTGAATATATAAATAAAATCTTAAAAAAAAAAACCTGTGGGTGTCAAATTACAACTTTCAGAAAGATGATGAACCATCTTCTGTCTAGGTATGGCAGTGTAAGCGGCCAGAGTCGGGCAGTATCAGTTGTTCATATTGCATTTTATTCCTAACAGTTCCCAACTGTATCAGCTGAAAGTTACTCCTTCCACATTAGGTCACTACCAAATATGTAGGATGCCCCTATTCTCCTTGGGCTTGCATTCATCCAAACGGTTTGTTTATACTTTATATTTGACTGTGTAACTGCCAAATACTCATTTTCCTTTGAGCTTAAACAGTTTTACGGGCTGTAGCCAAATATTTGTCAGATACATCGAATATTGATCCTAATTTGCTAGCTTTATATATAATTATTAGATTATCACTTCTTTGGTGCAAGACTCAATTTTTAAGTGAGTAAATTAGAGTAGCCCAATAATGTGAGGGGCAGTAAGATTTTTTTAATAGGTTGTAGTGAAATACATGCTTTTGCATTTAGAGTATACAGGAAGCTATTTTCTTTGCCTTCCCTTCCCTCCCCTTCTCTTCCATAGGTGGGGCTGAGGAAGCTAGGCTTCTGAGCTGGGGAAGGGGACACAGGGCCCAGTGCTCCAGGGTTAGAGCCTGAATAGTGTGAGCAGGGTGCCCCTGCAGAGGGTTTGTGGCATATGATGTCAATCACCAAGTAAGGCAACTGTCTGTAGGGGCTGGATGGTGGTGCAGCCCCAGAATTTAGGGTTTGTTTGAGCAGAGGGAGGAGAGCTTCTATGTGCTTGGACTGCTGGATCAGTGACATAAGGAAGGATTAATGACAAAAAATAAATATTTGGGGACAGAGTAAGGTTTCTCACTGTCACAGAAAGGAGTTACAAATATAGAAATGGAAAAAGCTGTAGTGTTGGATTCAAATTGGAAATTCTGCTATGAATATATTGTTTTCAATATGTATAGATGAAATAGAGATAAACAGATACAAATCTGGGGTATGTGTGTACCTATATATATATTCTCTTGTTCTTTTCATTCTCAAGACCTGGGATAAGAATGAGCATATCTAGTTCTCAGACTTTAGTTTTTAAATAAAATTGTCCACTAAAAAGAACTGGCATTCTTGAGGAAATAGACTGATTCCAAGAACGGGGCAGAAAAGATACAAGATAAACATAAAACATCTTGTAACAGAAATAAGGAAATGTGATGGAGACATGTCAAGGACCAAAGAAGCCTGCTTGAAGAGGCTTCTACAGACAAAACATAGGACAATTTGAGCATCAAAATATGATAATGATAATATCAGATAATGATAATGATAGTAACAGATTACTACTACAACAGAATATAACTACTAATATAATAGAATGAATAATTGCATTGAAAGTTTGATGAATACTTAGTCACAAAATATGTGTTGATTACAAATGAAAGAAGATGGACTCTACTGCCATGGAGAACTATGGGAGACTTTATCATGTGATCAAAGTTAATACCACCAGCAATGGGATAAACCAAAGTTAGGTGCCATTTGTTATGATGTAGAAAACTCAGGGGATCCCTGGGTGGCACAGCGGTTTGGTGCCTGCCTTTGGCCCAGGGTGCGATCCTGAAGACCCGGGATCAAGTCCCATGTCTGGCTCCCGGTGCATGGAGCCTGCTTCTCCCTCTGCCTGTGTCTCTGCCTCTCTCTCTCTCTCTCTCTCACTGTATGACTATCATAAATAAAAAAAAAGAAAACTCAGCATTGCTTCCGGGATATTCCTACCAAAGATGCATATCCCTAATCCAATCAAGAGAGAACATGATGAGGCACTTTCGTGGCTCAGTTGGTTGACCTCTCGACTCTTGATTTTGGATCAGATCACAATCTTGGGGTTCTGGGATTGAGCCTTCAGATGGCTCCTTGCTCAGCAGGGGAGTCTGCTTAAGGATTTCTCTCCCTCTGCTTCTGTCCTCCTCCTCCACTCTCTCTCTCTCTCTCAAATAAAAAAACAAATCTTAAAAAAAAAAAAAAGAAGAGAGAGAACATCGAGCCAACCCAAACTGAGAGAACTTCTAGAAAATAACCGGCCTTGGGGCACCTGGGTGGTTGAGTGTCTCTGCTTTTGGCTCAGGTTGTGATCCTGGGATCCTGGGTTCTTGTCTGGAATTAGTAATCCATCTCAATCCAAGCATCATACCATAGTGTGTTGAGGCCTATGCTTTAAGTTAAGTCATGCTCTGTCTAGCCATAACACAGTGTTTATCTAATGGGATTAAAAAGTCTTAGGCTTTAATGACTATTCCACTCACAAGAACTCAAAGAATATTTCTCTAGAGGTGCCAAAAATTGAATATGAACTTCAAAGTGTTCTCTTACAGGTTATTTAAAATACAAATTTCCTAATCATGATGAATTCTCCTATGCAGTGTTCTGATCAGGTTACAACCATTAAAAAAAAAAAGAAAAGAAAAGAAACAAACACCACCCCCCTCCCCATGCAAATGGATTGTTTTTACCATTGGTTGTAGCCTTACCTTAGTAATTGGCAATTATGGGAAAGAATTGGGTATTTATCCAGTAATTCTGATATGAATGGTATTTCAGAGTAATCAGATAGTCTTATTTTGGTTCATCAGGAAAATTTCTTTTCAGAATACTTCCATCTAATAAAGTAGAAAAAAAAACAGAACATTTTTAAAAATCAATTATTAGAAACTCCTAATAAAATTTTCTATTTAGGCAGTCATTAACAATGAAGGAACAATTAGATCAAAGCTCGGGGAATTTTACAACAAAGGGGTTCATCTGTCAACATGAACCCTAGTCATCAGTCTTAGTAGCATTGTTTAGAGTAGAAGACACTGATATTATGTGTTTCTCAGTTTTCCATGAATTATGAAGTACACAGACTCCTATGAAGTACTGTTTAAAAAAGAAAAAAAAAAGAATCTGACTTTAATTAAGGCTTCAAGATAGCCTTCTGTTTACAGGAAATATGGGGGCTACCATATCAAGTAAATGATATCACAAGAATGCAAAAAGCCAAACCCACATCATTTAACATTCTACAGAACAAATGTTCAGTTTCAACAATTG